GGGTACGATATCGAGGCGGAATCCGATTTGGTCCGTCTTGATATGGAAAAAATAACTCCTTCTGGAGTGATGGAGAACCCGTCCACGTCGAATGCTCTAACGTCTGACACTCGCCGGAACGAGATGAGACATAGTAAGAGGGTCAGTTTAGCTGAAAGTTGTTTCAGTGACAGATAGGGATTATCTGGCCATGTTCTAAGAAAATCCAGCACCACGTCTACCTGCCAGAGGTTAGAATATTTGGGTGCCGGTGGTCTCGTTAGTTTAGCGCCCCGTAGAAGTCGGCATATCAGTGGGTCCTGACCCACTGGTCTGCCTTGTATCGGGACGTGTGCCGCCGATATGGCTGATCTGATCACGTTGAGGGATCGATACGATCGTCCCAACGAGAACAGATGAGCTAGGTAGTTAAGGATCAGTGGGATAGGGGCATTAAAGGGATCGGAGTCCCGTTCCACACACCACTTACTCCAAGCCGCCCATGCGGACATATAGCATTTCCTGGTGCCTGGAGCCCAAGAGTCCCATAGGAGGTCCTTAGTCGATTGTGATAGGCCGTGGACTGACCAGGAGCCCCTGAAATCGTCCAAGCCACTAGTTCTAGTTGCCTTTCCAGGACGAGGGGGTGTGGTTCTCCTCGAGGTCCCGTCAGAAGTCGTGGGAAGGCAGGGGGTAGCCGGGGGTGTCCGTGGGACATTTCCAGGAGGTCTGGGAACCACGGTTGACTCTGCCAAAGCGGGGTTATCAGTAGAAGCGATAGTTTGCGGGTGCGTGTGTATCGCAGTACCCGTGGTATCATGGAGAATGGTGGGAAGGCGTAAGCCCCTAGGTCTTGCAGGAATGCGTCTGCCGCTTCGCTCTTCGGATCTGGGAGCCAACTGTAGTATCTCGGCAGTTGGTGGTTGGTCCTGGAGGCGAACAAGTCTATTGTTAGCGGGTATGTCCCTCGCCGTAATTCTTGGAATATCTCCCTGTTGAGTTTCCAGTCGCTGGTGTCTCGCCAGTGGCGTGAGAACCAATCCGCCGTCAGGTTGGCGATTCCTGGTAGGTATTCCGCCTGTAGCGTGATGTTCCGACGCAGGCAGAAGCTGTAGATGTCCTTCGTGGCCTCTGTCAGTGCTCGAGATCTCGCTCCGCCTAGGCGGTTGATGTACTGTACCGCCGAGATGTTGTCCATGCGGAGCAGAATACAGCAATTCGATTTGTCCTTGGCCAGGCTGCGGATGGCGAAGGATCCTGCAATCAGTTCCAGGCAGTTGATGTGTAGGTTGGTCTCCTCCTCTTGCCATGGGCCTCCCGTGGAGGCGTCCGCGCAGTGAGCTCCCCATCCCCATAGGCTGGCGTCCGATTCCACGATGAAGTCCGGGGAGGAGCCGAAGATAGCCTTTCCATTCCAGGCTTGCATGTGTAGTAACCACCATCGAAGTTCTGTCCTCACTTCCGTCGACAGTGGGATCCATTGGTCGTACGAGTGCCCAGTGCGGAGGTATGCCGCCTTCAGCCGTTGCATGGCCCTGTAGTGGAGCGGGCCTGGGAAAATCGCCTGTATGGAGGAGGAAAGGAGTCCCACGATCCGAGCGAGCATCCTGAGTGGTATCGTGTCCATCCTCAGAACCCGTCTGATTTCCTTCCTTATCGATGCTATCTTTGTCGAGGGGAGGCGTAGTACGCAGTCCTTCGAATCGATATCGAAACCGAGGAACTGAACCGACTGGGAAGGAGAGAGAGACGATTTTTGTCTGTTCACTACGAAACCCAAAGATTCCAGCAAGTGAACGACAAACTTCGTCTGCAATCGTAGTCTGGAGGCTGATTCGCAGAAAATTAGCAAATCGTCCAGGTATACGAGACATCTTATGCCCCGGGTTCGTATGTGCGCCATCACCGGTCTCAGGAGCTTCGTGAAGCACCACGGGGCTGAGCTGAGGCCGAACGGCAGACA